AAATCCATTAATTATATTTCCAAATAAAATAATAAAAAATTAAAAAAAAAACGTGATTGTAAAAAATGTTTTTGTTTAATATCATTCAGTCTTTCAGTGGCCATTCTATGATAATGACGCACGAATGGTTGATCTCCATCACTTGTTTCGTTCCTCTTCGTTTTCTTCCTGCTACGATGCCGTGCGACTCAATTTAAGTAAATACGAAATTTTTCGAAATTTTTCAGAATTTCGTCGCGTTTTATTATGTGCTGCATAATCAGTGATCAGTGATAATCGTAATTTATAATAAAAATATTGTTAGCTAGCCGACAGCAAGCACGAACGAATTCATTCATAAACGTGAATAAATTTTGAAGTTTGATTTTCTCGAAAACGAAGGCTTTAATGTAAAAAGTTTTCTTTCTTTCTTTTTACACGTAGAATCACTTCCTAGTTGGTTGTTCACGAGTCGCGGGTATATTTTTTCGATAAAACATTTTTTAGAGTGAATAGCATGACGTTTTTTTCAACCTTTTCTCCATTAAAACCAAAGGGACGAAATTAGCAAAACTTCTTTAATAATCTAAAAATTCATCTTTCGACGAAGTTCTGTGAAACATTGATTAAAGATCTCCGTTGCTAAGCCTTCAAAGTAATTGTATCAATTGTTCCAGATTAAGAAAGTAATTCAGTTCTTCGAGTGAACGTTAAAAACTGCTCAATGGGACGAAATTTTGGCACTTTACTTACGCGGAAGCTAATAAGATTAGGTTAGAATTTTCTTTAAGAAAACGAAAAAAACCAAGTGGAAAGGAGATATCTTTGAAATGTCAATTCCGATCAATTCCATTCATCATCTTAGCATTTCGTATCCTGATCTTTTGAAAATCGGACAAATGATGAGTCTCACGATTTTAAATATTCAGAGAGCGCGAGAGATTTCTGGGGTCTTCGTATTTCACCTTCGTATTTCGGTTTGCTCTCGAGTAGGTTTCTGTCGAGTCTCGGGGAACGATCGCGCGAATTCGTAGCTGTAAAACTACGTCGTTTCGATCCAACCGGGTTAGCTGTCTGGGTCTCGGCTGCTTTTTTACGAGCCAGCTATTTCTTTCGCTCTCCTGGGGCTGTTTCCACACACATGGCCACGGGGCAGTTCGTTATATCGTAAACATTCTCGGTGATAGGACAATGGATAGAAGAACGCGACAGGATGGAATATACGCGGCCGTATCTTATGATGATATCGCGAAACGTATCGTTGTTGGACGACACTTCGAACTCTCTGGATACGCACAGTTCTCGTTAATAGAATCTCGGCGACAGAAGCGGAGAAGAAACGATTTCGGTGAGTTAGAAGCTGGTCGCTTTGTGAGACACTTCACTCGCTTATACAGATACTTCCGTTGATACTTTTCTTCTTCGGACGAACGCTGCCTCGTAAAAACAGAGAGAAATAATTCCAGAATGTGCTTTGCACAAATTCTGCTTCCGCTCT